TCTTGTATTCCATTTTCTTCCTTCTCATATTTTAGCTTAGGAACAATATTGCAGCACACTATATTCATGATCCCGCCACCTGTTCCCAATGTCAATGGCACATGCTGTTGTTTTTATTACAGCGGCATTCTATTTCTAGGTCCCTATCTCCATCCTTGCCAATCGTGCGGTGGAACAAATAGCCACAGAAGAGCGGGGCAGATGATGGCTACAGGTGCTCGCTTCTAGCTTATGAGCCTGCATGGTAGCTGGGCCAGGCTGGGCTTGGCTCCCAGCTGTGGCCTCAGATCTGCCCATCCCACAAGGTGCTCATTCTTCCTTGGCCAGCGATGACCAGGGCATATTCTTCTCCTGTATCAGAAACTCAACCCGACGAAGTGAAAGCATACAATGTCTTTTATGTTGGAAGCTTTGACAAGGCTCACTGTCACTTCTGCCCAGGGACCAAAGCAAGTCTCCCAGCCAATAACAATATCTCTGTGGCAGAGATAAGCCACAAAGGCACATATTAGGCCACTGGTGGGGTGGGAGCAGCTACAGAATCCCATGGCAGAGCCAGGGATGGTGGAGTGGGAAGGCAGGGCCGTTTGTTGGTTGTTGTTGGTTTGTTGGCTGAGTAGGGGCATCTGGGGTCTAGCAGACTCTCAGGAAGGCTCCCCTTCACCCGTTTTGCTCTAGCCCTCACTATTAACCCTGACTTTAGGATACCTGGTCCTGCTAGCTCCCGAGCCATGCGGGAGCTTACACAACACAAGTCTGGTTGTTTCTTTGTTTTCCCACTCCCACCCTCAGGCTTGGCAGGTTTGTTGAGTCAGTCACCACTTGCCCATCTGCTTTCCAGCATCCATAATTTCATTGCGTGGTCGCTCTTTTTCTTTGTCCCCGTGGGGTTTTGCCTGTAATACAATCCCTTTACTATCGTTTTGTAGGTTTGGGGAGGAGGCTAAATGTCCACTTTCAATCCATCATTATTCCCACCTGGCTCTTTCTTGACACTGTAATGATCAACAAACAGCCTTTCCCACGTCAGCTACTCTGGCTTTAATTGTGGCTGCTCGGAGCCCCAAGTTGCCCGGAGACAACCGAGTGGAGGAACTTTAATGAAGCGCCTGATGCCATGTTGGCTCACCTCTCAGTCTGCATTGTAGGAAGATAGTACTGCTGCAGAATAAGCCTTTGACTCAGCCTTGTGTCCTAAAACAGACTCAAAGACACCATCTACCTCTTCAGAGTTCTGACTGTATATTCTGACTGTATTACATTTTATGTAACCTCAGTCTTAAAATTTAGACCACACACACATACACACACATGCATGCACACACATATGCACATGCAATATACACATGCACATACATACACACCCAGGCACACACATGCACACACACACACATACATACACACTACACATACACATTTGTGCACATGCGCACAGACACACCTACTCGATTTTCTTAGACCTAAGTGAAATGAAAAGAACCCAAAATAAGTCTATCTGTTCTCTCCCCACGGCCTCCATTCTTTTCCTCCCAGGCCATTAGTGACAGTACTAGGAAGAATACTTCACACGCCATGTTTTGATCTGAGGTCTGGTGCTTACAGTAGATCGGCCGTTGACATTTCACATTGTTCAGATGCAGGAAAGGAGGATGAGATTGCTGTGGCACAGAACATTATGTCCTAATGCCACTTGACCCACAGCCTCTCCGGTGGCGCTGGGGGGCACAAGCAAACACGGCAGGAGTTAGGGTAGTCAAAACCCACCTGGAAACATTTTGTAGCGCCGGTGGTAAGGGGTCCACAAACGTTTATAAGAAAGAGCAGACCAGGACTGCACTGCAGCCAGAAAACTGAGGTTCAAATTCCCATTTGGTCACGAGGTTTCCATATGACGTCCGTAAGTTGGTCTCTGTTGAGAAACAAGTCTCGCTGCTGGTTGGATTGTTGGGGAAATGAAAGGGACAAAGGAGATCTGTTTGCTTGGTGAATGCTGCATTTATTCAAAGACAAGTCTGATTTGGATATGCCTGCTTAGGTAAGGCAGGTTGGTGCAGGCAGCCCATTGTTAGGAGCCTACTTCTTACAAACTGAGTGAGTGCTATAATTTGTTTACTATCAGATACTATCAGAGCAGGCCCTGCTCTAAGGCCCTTTGCATCTATCTGAGGTTAAATACTCAGAACAACTTGGAGGAGTGGGTGCTATAGCAGTGTTGTTGCTATGGCTTTAAAACGAGGGGGAACTGGGGTTCAGGAATTAAGTGTTTGGGTGAAGACCACCTCATTAGCTAGTGCAGCCAGGATATGCCCACCAGCAGCTTGCACCCAGGGTAGCACTGCGAGTACCCTGGAGCTCTGGGGTGACCTCATGCACACTGCCATCCTCTCCTGATGCTCCTTTGTAGACTTTTTCCCTGGAGGGTCACCACATGCCAGGGTTCTTTCCCAGTGCCCTCTCCTGCACACACACCCTCTGTCTAAGGCTTTAGCTGCTGTCTGTATTGGTACTTTACTTGGTCCTGTGGCCAAACACCTATCAAGGAGTGGTGGGCATGGCGGTGGGAGTATGAGGCAGCTGGTTGGATGGCAGCTGCAGACAGGAAGCAGAGTGCAGACAGGAAGTAGAGCAAGCTATGAAAGGCCCTCCTCTGGTGACCTACTTTCTCCAGCAGGGCTCCACCTCCTGAAGATTCTACAACCTTCCAAAATAGCATGATCAGCTGGAGACCACATGTTCAAACACAAAAGCCTCTGTGGGACAGACACATCCAAGCCACACCACCATCTATCTGCTAATGCATTCCGTACTCTGCCCAACCCAGACATCTCTTTTGGCTCCCAGGGAGCTGGGTCTTTATGTGGGTACCTTAAATGGCTTTCAAGTCCTTGAACGCAATGTCTACCAATGATACTTTTTCTTACTCACTATGCCTGCTCCTTCTAAGAGTAGACTTCACTGAGACAGTTGGTACAAGTCGCAAGAACAGCCTGCCGGGTCCATACTCATCTCTGTATCCATGTAGCTCATTGGCATGTCCTTCCACCGCACTTAAATTGCTCAACAGTGTCTATGTTGAGCAACTTAGTATCTTGATTCAACACCCTCATCTAGGTCAGTATTGCCACCTAGCTGAATTATCCTGTCATCTAAAAGTGACCCTTCTCTGGTCTTGCAACACTCTGGTCTGTACCTCACATTACCATAAACAGGACCTATCCACAACATGAAAGTAACCGTGACCCTCTTGTTTAGAACCCTACAAGGTCTCCCAGTGACCTCCAAATAAAGCTGCCTTCCTACCCTGGCTCCCAAGGCTGATGGGAACTGCCTTCCTGTTTTTTCTTCCATCTTTTTCTGCAGCTAGAGTGAACTTCTTTGAGCATATCCCTTTCCCTTAAAGCCTTTGAACATCACTTTTGGAGAAAGCATGTATGGTTTGTCCTGAGAACGGGCTCTATCTCTCACCCACTAATCTTTGTCTTCTTTACATATTCATTTAAAGAGACCCCAGCCCAGCCCCAGGAAGCCTTCCTTGACTTGACTTTGGAGACTAAGTGCCTTTGATCACCCTATGTAACCCTTACCATAATTTATTGCAATTACTAGTTTAATTGTCCATCTCTGTGGCTACATTGTAAACCCCTTAAGGCCAGGCTCCATGTGGGTCTGGCTCATTAATCCTTGAAACTAACAAAATATCTGCCACAATAGCAAAACTTCCTTTATTTATTGAGTATTGAATGTTACATAAAAACATCAAAAGCTACAAGTTACCCAAATAAGACCCCCCAAAATTCAATGCTTTTTTGTCTGTAGTTGGTCAGATGATCACCAAGTGAGAAGACAAACTGGAGACAAATTTGTTTTAGTCAGGACATTGGGAAACCAGAGAAAGCAGAAGGCAGATGCTGCTCCTTGAGTTTCAGAAGTGCAGACCGCTGTTAGCTCTGATCCTTTGTATCCTGGGAAGCAAGATGCTGATGAGACAGCGGTCAGAAAAATGGGAGCAGCTCTGGGGGCTCTAAATGCACCATGTCCTCCTGGGAAATGGGGAGTGCTGACAACCATGTGACCACCGCAGGCCTCTTCTCTCATGGTTCCCAGAGTCGTTAATCCAAACGCTTACTGTCTTTACCTGGGTGAGTTAAAACATCTCCAGCAACCCAGCCAAAAAATTTACTCACCAGGCCCTGCTCCTTCAGGAGACAGGAGGCACCATTTAGCTTTGATTCACAACTCCCCAAGCACTAAAGTCCTTGCTTGGCAAAAGATGCACTGGACACTTAAGAAATCTTGAAATCAGGGAGTGAGTGTTGTACTCACCTCCAGCATCTTAAAATTTGATGCCCAACTGCATAATTATCCAAACACAGCATTGTCCATGTTCAGTAGCAGAAGACATGTTGTTGGAGGTAGTGGTCTTCACAGGTGCTTTGAAACAAGTGTGTTACGAATTTTGCTTCATGTTCATTGTGGCTTAATCTCTTCTGTACTGTATCCATATGAAATTGCTTCATCTTACAGATGAACCCTGTGGCCAACAGCAGGTCCAAGCTTGCAACAGGGATGAAGTTATCCAAGGAATCTGTTATCCTATTTAGTTCCAATTTGCCGATGAACTGTGTGTCAGGATTTATAATCAGAAGCCTATTCGCATACATTTTCATTAATTCTTCCATTTCCCCCACTTTAGCCTCTGCTTCCTCCCCCCATTTATTCCCTCAACCCTTACCATTAAGGGCAAGGATTATGAATGCCTTGTTCTTCATTTGTCTCCAGAGTCTAATATGATGCCTGACACACAATAGAGCTTCAATAAGTACCTGGGTTTAATGAAGAGTGTAATTAGGAAAGGCATATGACTTAGCTCAATACTCTTCTCCATGAAACTAACAAAATGCCTGGCACCCTGACTCTTGCATCTGGTATGGGGGTTTGCAGAAAGTCCTGCTTGAGTCATCACAGGGGAAGAGAGGCAAACAAGGAACAGGGACACACCTGTGTTGTATGAACAGAGAGAAAGCCAGTGGCCCTCTTGAAGAGGCTAGAAGAGGCCTGCAGACCTAAGAACATTCTTCCGGCAAAGGCTTTGCCAGCTTCTTTGTAGCATGTAGGCCGTGCTTTGTAAGGTGGAGCATGAGAGGGGAGAAGCCTGATGTTGACTTCTGGCCTCCACATACAATGGCATACATGTGCTTATATATAGTGTACACATGCACACATAGGAATACACACATGCACATATGCACACACATGCACACAGAGTGAGACACCTTCACAGCTCTCATGAACACTATTCTGATAGCCTGTTATTCTCCCCATTTTTTATGCTAGTTACATTTTATGCCATGTTACACATTGTTCCCAATACAATAAGGGGCTACAAAGTGTGAATTTGGAGGGTGATCTAACTAAGGAACAAGTATGTGGGAACACACAGAATTAGGGAACCAGGTGGATTGCTCAAATATTGATAATAGTGAGAAGCCATTGTGACTCTGGGTGTAAAAGTGGGAGTCTGGGGAAACAGGAGGTACACAGAGCATCAATGTAGAGGCCCTGCTGGGGGGGGGGGATGCAGCCACCCTGAGAGCATGGTGCAAGGCCTGCAATGTGCCAGGGTCCCCTGCTCTTCCTCCTCCTCTCTCTGATCTCCTGAGTCATCTCCAATTGGCACTGTTCAATGGGTAAAGGACCGACCTCAGGGGACAACTGCAGGAGTCAGCTCCTAGAACAGAGAGGGCAGAAGCTGGGCCGGTGGGGCAGGAGGAAGCCAGTAAGCATCATTGCAGTTTCTCTATCTGTATAACATCGATGATTAGATAGATAGATGGATGGATGGATGGATGGGTGGGTGGATGAGTGGATGAGTGGATGGATGGATGGATTAGATAGATAGATAGATAGATAGATAGATAGATAGATAGATAGATAGATAGATAGATTTGATGTGGGGATTAAATGAGTTGAAGATAGTCCTTAGAATAGTGCCTTTAATGAATGTTACATTTTGCTATTATATCTCTCATTGGTTTGTAAGTATTGCATTAGGTAAAATGTGAAAAGCATTTGGAATTATGCCTGCCCCACAGTCAGCCCTATAAGCTGAAGGCAGTTGAAGTTGTTATGTTGCTGGATGTCACTGTAAAGTGGGCTGGGGATCAAATCTGATGCCAATCAAATTTAAGACAAGTTCTCTGCCACTGAGTTAACCACCCCTCCCCCACCCCATTAGGCTGCACTGCCTCTATCAGGCTGGGGGAGGGGGCTGTACCTCCTAGGATTCCCACCATTCACTGATCATAGCACTCACAGCACTTTCTACCTGTGTTGGATTCTGTTTCCATTCTGAAATGTACAGGCGAGAGTAGGAAATTCATTTCCTGAGACAGGTTAGACTGAAAAATTGTCAGCACAGCAAGATCTGGGATCTGGAGATGATGTCAGTTAACTTGCAGTAAGAGGCTGTAGCGGGTGGGTTGAGACTTCTGGTGTGGGGACCAACACCTCATCTCATCAGCCCATATGGTGTCCCGTGTGCAGCTGGGAACATGAGCTGGCAATGAGGTTTCCTGAGGTCCTCTTATCTGGAAGCCGCTTGCGGTGTTTCAGATGAAAGGTGTCAAACAGGATTTGGGAGCCCTCCCTTTCACACCACTTCCTGTAAAATATTTGCTGGTTTCAAATGTCAATTTCATACCCATGATTGCAAATGAAATGTTACCTGCCACCATGAGGAACTGTTGCTTTGAAAGATACTTTATCCAAAACATGGCTCATTCGAGCAGAGTCTAACTAGATTCCTTCACCAGAAAAAAAAAAAAAAAAAGAAAGAAAGAAAAAAAAATCAAAATCCAGGTGTTTAGAAAATAAATATCTACTTACCACTTCTGGCTTTGGGTTTTCCTTACACAAGACATGTCTTTTTCTTCCTCTCAGCCATTTGGCCTGTGCTTGGGAAATTTTAATAGCTGTGCAGAATAGACACCAAATGACTTATTTCTGGAATTGCCACAGCGGGTTTGAGATTTGCCAGTCATTTTGTGTCACTTGTCACCCTGCTCCCTTATACGTGTCTTTGCAGGTGCTTACCTTTGACAGGTGCACCACGGAGTCCCCACTATGGGCCCTTGTCTGCCGTATTAGTTGGGAGGATACACAGTTATTTCTGGAATCTGGCTCACAACTTTATATTTTGTGTCAAAATTTTGAGAAGATCTAGTGTATGTAGGTAGTGAATGGATGGGTGTTCTATTGGACTGCTGATGAATGAGACACATAGTCTACTCTTGAGGTTTAAAGTGTGTTAGAGCCAAACCTACAGGAGGAAATGTCTTCAGTGGAATTTATTTTCATTTCTTCTTATTATTTGATATACGAAAGTCCTAAATACATTGAATCCTTTCCTTGGTGGGAAGTTGAAATCTACTGTCTTCTTGGGAAAAAAAAATCACTGTACACCTTCCTTTTAAGTTTCACCTAAAATATGTGTGTAGTGTCTGTGTTTGTTCCTCCCAACTCAGGACCCTGTTTGGAAGCCTCTGGTTCCACCCAGTTGCTTTATTTGTTCCAGTAACAGCAGCCTGGCTAGTCTATGTGAGGTAAATTCTGCTTATAAGCCGTTCAGCTGTGTGTCGTTTTTCCTCATCAACTAGCCGGTTCTGCTGTTTATCCAGCGTGTTGTCCTTGACCAGTGTTTGGATGGTCTGTCATTTCACAGCCATTATCACTGTAATCAGCTCACTCTCTGACTGTATTGTAAGGGCAGTAGCTGGCTGCTATGAGCATAGAGAAAAATGCTGTAGCCCAGAAGATTAAACAGATGCTGGGGTTCTGCCCCCCATCCCCATAGCTCTTTAGTGTATTTGCATCTTAATTATTCCCATTATTACTGGATAGGAATGTGTCCTGGAAATCTAGCATAGTCCAGACTTCACTTCGATAATGGATGGTCCTCGGATGGGGGTGGCTATGTAACCCCTCCCCCCAAAGGCATCCACTCCCTTTCCATGTTTCCTTTGAGGGCTTTTCTTGTCAGAAAGCTTTTAACATCTAACTGGGCCCTTCTATCACTGCCTAAGACAACCAATTTTGCTTACATGTTTGCCTCAATAACTACTTTTCTAGAAGTACTTGTGATCCATTTCAACATGGCATGGTAGAAGCATTCTCCTAGTAATTGTCTCCAAATTGAAAATGATAGAAGTTCGAGCTGCTCAAAGTGTGGATGCATGTTCAGAAAGCACAACTTCAACCTTGAAAAGAATGCTTAGTGAAAAAAGAAAAAGAAAAAGAAAAAAAAACCAAACAAACAAAAAAACAAATGCACATGAAGACCTAAAGGTATTGAGTGGCATTGTGGACAATATTTTTTTGTCTTCTAGAAGCTGCTTTTTGGTACTGAGTGGCATCATGGGCAATCTTTTTTGTTCGTTTTATTTGTAAACAATGTGATGGGGAAAGCACCCAGGAGCTGTAAAGTCACACTGACCTGAAATCACATTGTCCCCTACTTGCCATCTAGTCTTAAGGCCTTTGTTTAGCATTTCAATTAGAGATATTGGAAGCTGCCTCATGGCGTTGTCACAAGGATCCAAGGATGGTAGCAAGTGTTAGACACTCTGCTATGTCCACTAGTTTCCAGGCCTGTCAGTGTGTTGTGTCTGTAGTGTCACATGCTATTAAGTGCACTGCATTAATGATAATAAAACTTTATTAATTAAATCAGGGCTTGCAGCTGTTTGCATAGGGTGAACAGAGGTGTGTGTGTGTGTGTGTGTGTGTGTTTTGTTTTTTGTTTTTCTGAGAAGAAAGGATGAGCTCAGCAAACTCCAGTCAACCAGAATGGAGCTGAGAAGGAAAACTGCCCTACCGTTAAAGCCTTTAAACTCCAATTTGCAAATAGAGAGAGGGAATTAATTAAAAACAATCATTAAGTCATCGAAAGAGCCAAGGAGACAACCTCCTTAGCAGTGCTGTCGTCTGGTTCCTGTGCAATTAGTTTCTGTGTGATTTAGGGAGGCGTGCCTCGTTAAAGCAGCGCTTCAGACAGCCCATCAACCTGATGCATTCTCCTTTCAAAGACCTGGAATCAGTTTCTACATCCCTGAAAACATTACATCATTAAAGACAAGGAAATGCTGTCTGTTAGCACCTAGAACTGTAGGGAGATTTCCTTCCCATCTGCTGATTGGTATAGTTGCTGCTGTTCCCTGGCTTTTCATTAATTCATTGAACATTTGTTGACAGCCACTGATGACCTGTACCTAATTACTCAGATGAAGTACAGTTTTCTTCCGATGTCAAGGTATAGAGATAAATCTTGCTTTCCACATGATAGGGAAATTGTGCTTTCTATCTCCATGTGTGGTGACCCTTGTGAGAGCCAAACACCGACAGTACAGATTTAACAATGTGTCTAATATGCATTTATTGTACATTACCTTCCTTATGCTGGACGAGGCAACACTTAATTGTTTGGCCTGCAGTCCCAAATACAGGGCTGACCAGCCCTGTGGCAACATCACAAAGAGGATAACAATTTGAGGTCATATCCTTGTGCCCAGCAAAGGTTGAAGGTGAGACCTCAGCTTCTGACTTAAGAATGCAACACAGGTCATTGTCATTGTTTAAATCTTACCAGTAAAGTTACATGTAGCATGTGTTAATTGATAATTCCAAATTTTTGCTGTCATTCTTGATTGCTCATCACTAACAGACAGACGTAGCAACACTGAGCTGGGCCATGCTGTTTGTCGGCTTAGCCTGACTCTGTAGTTTGGATTTTGTTTGAACATTACCATCCATTTCTATATGACTTGAGCACAATGCTGCCCTTAAGAATAAGATGGTTCCTAGGTTCAGTAGGACATGGTTATTGAGAGTTGTGGTTCTGAGTTAGACTGCTGGATTAAAATCTCCACAGCTGCATCAAATCCTGGTGTAACTATTGAAGTAAAGAGCATCTCTTAGAGATGGTTTCTCCATCTCGTAGGTGGGATGAGATCCAAAAAGACTAATGTAATATCACACACAAAATACATAACACAAATCTTCAATTACATTATTATATTCATATGCTATATGGCTTGTCCAAACACATAAAATATAAAATAAATAGTAATTT